AAAGAAAGAAAGAAAGAAAGAAAGAAAGAAAGAAAGAAAGAAAGAAAGAGAGCAGTGGGAATAAAGAGGCGATTACAAGACCTTTTTTTAATCTAAAAACCGACTAAGTACATAACAAGGAGAGAAAGACCTCTCAGTACTGAACACCGAATTGCAATCCCTACTGACCGAATAAACTCAGAACATGTACATGGGTCACTGCCCAGGACCCAGGAGCCTGAGCGGCAGAACATGAAGGAGAAACACAGCTTCACAGTGTCTCCTCCTTTTTCCTTGGTCCACTCTTCCCCCTTAGGAAATTCCAATGATAGAAATCTCATTCACCGAAAGACCTGTTTCTAGACAAAAATTGGGCACGTTGCCCCTTTCTGCCTGCTGACCACCACCCTGGTCTTCCTCTGCTTTGCTTGGCTCTTTCTGCTGATGTGGCAATTTCTTCTTCTGTATCTTGCAGGGCTGACAGTTAAAGTACAGTGCTGTTGTGTTTATACCCACGACAAGGAGGATAATGACAATGAAGACCATGGTAGAACTGCGCCCTTCACTGGGTCCTGGCCAAAACACAGAAGACCCAGCTCAGGGGTGTGCGCTGCAGACAGAATTGCCCCCACCCTGACCCCTCCATCCCTACCCACCTCACTCCCACAGCCCAGGAGACCAGTTCTGTCCCCATTCCCTCGCCCAGTAAGATCTTCCTTTCCATGATTCCAGGAAACTCCTGGGGCATTCCCATCCCAAGCCCAGGGAGCGCAGCAGCAGCCACCTTGCACGGTAACAGCAATGTCTTTGCTGACGGAGCCCAGCTGGTTGGTGGCTGTGCAGCAGTAGATTCCAGTGTGGTTTTGAGCCACCTTTCTCGGCACCTCGAGGTCGACAGTCACCCCATTCCAGGTGCACACTAAAGCGGGAGCCGGGTTTCCCGCTGGGATGCAGGCAAGCGTCTGCTCCTTCCCTTCCAGCCACGTCTGAGTGCCGGGGCAACCAGCTTCTTCTAGCCGAGGCTTGTCTGCAAAATAAGTAAATAACCCAAAGAAGCTGGCTGGTGCTATGCCCTGCTCCCTGCAGCCGTCATGCTCGGCTCTTCCTGCCCCAGCCCAAGTGCTATTTCCTTAAGAAATTTCTGGGGTTTTTTAGGAGGGGAGTATCAGGAATCAAACTCAGAACCTTGTGCTTGTCCAGCAGGGGCTGTGCCGCTGAGCTATGTCCGTGGCCCACAAATTTCTTTGCAAGAGAAGGACTATAATTGTCTTGCTTTAAACCAACTTCCCTTTCTTTCATTTGGGCAAAGAGTCTGAGATGAACCCTGGGGTACTTCTATGCTTTTGGACTAAATGGTAAAACACTGCTTTGGTTAAAAGGCTGGAAAA